TGAAATGTCTCCACACTCTAGTTCGTGAATCAATTATTCTCTTCAAAAGAAAGAAGCGCAATATGTTGCTAACCTATTCGGCTAATGATACCTAGGAGTAGTTCAAGAATAAATCAACATAATATGTATCTTTTAATTACAACTCCTTAAGATTAACTTATCACTCTTATTTACTCGTCGGACTCTATTATTATAATCGTTTGTCTAAATAAACAAGGTAATAGAGATGCCAATAAATAGAATTAATTAGACTTTGACAATAAAATAGTCATTAGGCAAAATAGTAATAGGATTGACAAGCTTTATATATTTGCTATGACTATAAAATAAATCCAAAATTCACAAATTTCTAAAATCCACTATTATTTGTATAATTTAAAACTAGTTAAATGAATTAAAAAAAAAAAAAAATAGACTCTTGCATGTGCAACTATCATTGCAGTTACTTCAATATGAGGAAAGCATCTTACAAAATATATTTTACCAAACCATGTCAAACGACATATCCTGCTCAAATATTTGGTGTTGAGTGGGAACATTTTATGACAACAATAAATTATTCATTTCAGATGAAGTTCAGTGCAATTTTTTTTTTTTTTTTAGATTAAATTATTCATTTCAAGTTAAGTTGAGAGTGTATATATTTTTCTTCAATGAAGCATCCCAAATAATAGTCACGCACCTTAAACTCTTGGATCTCTATTCTTATGTCGTGTCGTGTTTTGTTCTTGTTCACTCTCCAACTAAACTTTACCCTCTTTTCCCTACATTCTTCCGTACCTTCTTGTCATGTGTTCTAATCCCTTTTCCTTGCATTTTATTTGTATTAATTCACTCTCTACTTTCTTACCATCACCCAATCGTCCTTATTCTTGTATGCGACCCGGTCCAATCCCTTAAAGGTGATTTGTAAATCCGTGACTTGGGAAAAGAACAAACAAAAAAGAGTCAATTTTGACAATGTTGGAGTCGATTTTGATCATATTGGAATCAATTTTTGATTAGTTTCAAGTAGAATAAAGTTACACAACAAATACATTTTAAATTTCACATTCAATTATCTGTACAATTTAGTAAATTAGGCATGAAATGTGTATGAAAAAAATTCTCAACCCTTTGTAGGTTCTAAAGTAAATTTTTTTATACATAAAAAAGATTCTCTACGAGAATTGAAGTCAACATATTGGGACAAAATCTAACATCTATATATGAAAATTTATCTAACAATGATAACAATAATCATAAATTAAATGGACATGATTTATTATATAAAAGAAAAGGGTATCTTTAGAAAGAAGAACATTAATGATGACAGTCGATGATGCATGTGAGTTGATCATCATAATTTAGTAAGAACACTGCTACATACATATATTGTTTACGCATTCGTCAAGTCAATGGCCAAACTGCTGTCACCTTATGAAATGTCAACAAATGTGTAAATAATAAGTGTACGAGTAGCTTAATTAGGTTTAGCCTCTGTTTGGTTGAGCTTTTTGAGAAAATAAATTCTGTGAAAATTAATTTTCTTATATGCAAAATTATGTTATTGAGAGTAAATTTGAGAAACAATAAATTTTAAAAATGTGGGCCAAACAGAGACTTAGATAATAACTGTAGTTATGTGGTAACTTGAGCAAAGATGGCAATAAGAGTCAATTTAGACTATTTAAATAATATTATAAAAAAAATTTGATCTTCAAACCAAAAGACGAATTACCCACTAAAAATCCCATTAATCACTTTCTAGAGCTTAAATTCTTTACTAATATCAGTGTTATTGTAAAAATTACACATTTAGTCCCAATCTATTTAAATCATAGCAAGGTAATCCTCAATTCATTTTTCGACCGTGGACCCTATTTTTAAAATTTGTAGCAGGTTAGTCACCAATGAAATTCTTGCCAATAATAAAGCACCCATCAAATATCTCAAACCCAAACCCTATCGCGCATCGTTACCCAACTATTTGGTTTGCACCCTTTTCCCGAACTTTGTACCTTCTTGGTTTGCCTCACCTCTTTTGTTAGCGAGAAAGGAGGTGAGTTCGACTAGGCGAGAAAATATATTTTAGTTTTATTTTCTGTTTATTAATTTTCTGAACTTGCTAAAAAATAAATGAATCTATTTGACATTTTAAAAATAAATAGATACGAGCAAGTTAGAATAATGGTCAATGTTTCAAATTTCAATCAATAAATCAAATGGAAGGGATGAAACGTGCATGAAATGATAAGAGAAATACAATTTGAACGGTAGGCAACGCGTGTCAAAGACTAGAGCAATTAATAAAGGAGAAGTACAAAGCCGGTTAAAGTCAACCATACATTATTTAGAAAATTGACCCTCCGTTCAAATTGACTCATAACCAGAAGCAAAAATATTATTTTGTCATCCTAATGCTCTAAAAATTAGCAATGTCTAGGCCACGAATGCACCATCTCCACGGAACATATGTGTCCAAGAACGACCGATTCAACAATAATATTTCAATCGATTCTAAGAAATGTGTGATTAAAATTAATTATTAATTTTAAATTAAATTTTATTATTTTTTAATTAAACAAGACATCACCTTAAAAATGTTTGGGCAAACGAGAATCTTAGAAAGAATAATAAATTAGTCAAATTGCATATTATTGATTATTATGGTGTGAATTTATTTATTTATTTATGTATTATTTAATATTATTTTTGTGTTAAAAGGAGGAGAATATGGTCATAATTATAAATATTTTTCTTTTGCTGTATTAGATTTGTGACATTGGGACTCGGGAGAGGCGGATAAGGAATAAAGAGAATAGGAATGTGGTCACAATTTGCCCACTAGGTATAGGGGAGACGTATATCTTTGATTGCGTCAATCGAATCATGCTATAGGTACAATAAAATTATACAGAATTCATACAGGAATTTGAAATGGAGGGTTTACATTCAAAATTGGGAGAGGGAAAATAACAAAGTGATGGATAAGATTAAACCATTTCAAATTCTTGTCAACAATATGTAGAAATTTCCTGTACTTGTGGAATAATTGTTAAAAAGAGTGCTTAAGCAATCGAGAGCATGATAAACCCATGTGACCTCCACCCATATGAATTCATCCACATATCATATTCTCGCTTTTATCGCCGTGAGTTTTGGATTCATAATTTTTTTTCTGCTTCGGAAATACAAATAGACTTGGATGCCATTATTATCAAAGTACGGGAGAAACATGGATAAGTCGTTTTCTTTCTTTAAAAATATGTGAATAAAGTTTGCACGGCATTTGATGATCGTACTAAAAGAAAACGAAAAAAGTTTAGTAATTTTAACATAGGGGGGCAACAGTGGCAGCCTGGCGTGCCAAATGCTGTAAACTCGTATATGGAGAAAGAGGATTGAGGGGCCGCACTGGACGAGCTAAAGGAGGTGAACCCACGTCACCATTACAGCTGAATACAGTAAAGATATAGAAAAAAAAANTCCGTTTGGGAGCCATTCTTCTTCAAATAATATATTTTATCTTTCACATCAAGTGGGGTCCATGGAGAATGTGTGGTTGAAAAAGAAAGAAAAATTATTGATGTGATGGAAAATATTATTTTATTGAAGAATGTGTGGTTAAAAATGAGTAGAAGAATGAAAATAAAAATTTTAATGGTTACCAAACGGAGGCTAATAGTGTTTTGCACTGTTTAGCGCCCCCCCCCCCACCCACCATTGAGTTGTGATACTCTGTAAGGAGCAGAGGTTTTTGTTGATCTGATTGCCATGACTTACGTGGAAGTTTAACACCTTCTGTTTTGGGTGAGTTCTGGAGAATTCTGAAGTTACAGTTTTTTTCTTTTCTCATCATTCAAGGGTTTCTGTACATGTATACACATTGATTCAGGGGTTTCGTTTAGAATACTATTTTCCATGGTAGGATGCGTTTTCCTTTATTTGGACCTTTTTCTGCATTTGGTTCTTCTTAATTTCTTGCACTAATGTGATTCTGGCCCTATGAAAGGCTACTTTGTAATTGATTGTTCATAAATTTTGCTTATTGGTAATTTGATATTTCTTGGTTTTTGCTATCTTTATTATGTGGTGGAGTGATTTGATGCATTGTTTGGAATTTTTCCTTTTTGTGGTTGCACTATCATTTAAGAGAACGATCTCGTTGCTTGCATTGCTGGCCTGTTCACGTGTGTGTATACATGTTTTCATATGTTCCAAAACTAGTTGATGCTTCTTGTCTGCAATTTTGGTGGTGACCTTCCACTCACACAGATATTATATTGGCTTTGACAGGCCATTTTCAACTCCACTGGTGAAAGATGATTTTACCGTCTGTTTGTCAACCAATTTTTCTGAATTTCTGTTTCGGATATTCGAACCCCATAATAGGTACATTTAACATGTATCCCATTTCATTCATGTGTTGAGGAATGTGGCTCTTGCATTTGATTTCTGAAACGAGGTCAGGAGATTATATTTTCTAATAAGAAGATAAGATACTTGAATATAAACAAATAATAAGGGAGGGCTGGTGGTGTCAGTGGTGAGCAAGTGGGAACGTCTCCAGTTTTGAGAAGTTAGTCAAGATTTTTGCGTCTCCCGGGCTAACCCTTCACACACCTGGTCTTCACATTCTTCTTTGGACTCTTCCCATTCTTTGATTCTCTTCCCATTGAAGAGGTCGATTTCGTTTGCAATATAAGGTGGCACATAATCCCTAGTTCTTATATTTTTTCTCACTTGTTTTGGGTTGGGGGAAACATTGGGCAGAACAGTATCATGATTTACTTTTTTTGTCTTTGGTTCTGTTTTCATTCCTCTTATATCCTAGTAAGGACTCGAGGTTGTGACATTTATGTACTCAATATTCACTTGTGGGCCTTGCCTCCCTTTTCTTCTCATGCAGCGCTCTCTTCCGACTTCATTTAGAGGTATAAGTGATTGAACTGCGGGTTGCTGAGATATAACAGAAATAGTTGAAAGTCTGGAGTTGAGAAGATCTTTTGGTAGCCAAGATGAAATTTATGAAGCTTGGTTCCAAGCCTGATCAGTTTGAGACTGATGGAGATAATATCAGGTCAGTACTTGAATCATAATCTCACTGTTTTTCCCATATGTTTATAATGAAAGCATTTCTGTGTTTTTTACTACAATGTTGCTGGTTAGCTACTGTTTTTTCTTTTCATCCAAAGCCTTGCCTTTTCTTTTTCTGATTTTTGATGGGGTTCTCTGTTCAGTGTCTTTAAAGTAGTTGGTTTTATAAACTGCTTGGGACAGCTCTCTCGCTCCCTCAGAACCCCCTTTCTTGGGATTTCCAGACATTCAACTGAATGTTTGGTTAAGACACGTCACTGATGTTAACGAGGTTATATGACAGATCTAAAACAAGTTATCTATATTTGTATGATTACATTGAATTGGGTAATATTGAATTTGCCTACTTTTCCAAATAGGTAATCTTGAAACGTAGGATCAAGATGCATGTCAAAATAACTGGCTTGCATTTGATTGCATTCTTCGTTATCTTCTCCTCTAACATAAATGACTGGAAAAATGCTGAGGCTCACTTCCATGATGAAGTTGAACAATTGCCTTATAAGACTTGTTTTTATCTCAATAATGAATAAACCACATGTGGTGCTTTTATAGTAGAAGAAACAACATACTGGACACAGTTCCAGATTTCCATTGTGATATAAACTTGGTGTTTATTTGCCATTACTGCATATGAAGCTGGACATAAATGACTGATGATGTGCAGCAATCTATGTTTGAAAGTAATATAGAGATGTAAAAGAGGTGGTGCTTGTTATGCCTATGAAAGGTTGATTGCAGAAAAATCCATTGAGAAAGCCTTATAATTCTAAAATAGTATCTCAGTATTTCTTTATAGAACAAATTTCTGATTAACACTTGGATCAATATTTCTAATTGTCCCTTTTCAAGTAATAAAACACTCTTGAATTGGTAAATTATTCTAAATGCAAATATTATGGAGAGGACATGAGCTTTATTTTGTTCGCGCTTCGTTTGTCTTTTTCATCAAATAATGTTTGGATGTATACCATTTTGCCATGTTGAAGGTTATTTAATTTGTGAACATGTAATCTAAAGTTTACTGGGAATCTGACTGATTGTCCCATTTGTCTGCTCAGGTATGTGGCAACTGAGTTGTCAACTGATATAATCATCAATGTTGGGAATGTAAAATTTTATCTGCACAAGGTATAGCCCTTCTCTGCTTAAGATGTGCTACTTTATGCATTAAGACATTGTTTTCTCGTGCATCATTCAGAACAGACAGATTAACATTCTGTCAGCCAAATTCATCAATAAGATTACTTCCATCTGTTAAGGTCAACTCTAATTTACACTTAAAAGACCCAAAATATAGTCATATCACAAGATCAACTAAAAGGCCATCCTAAACAAATCAGACACGTTTGGTCTAAGAAATTTTAAATGACTTTAAATATCACATTCTGCAATCAACTATGACTGTTGTCAGACGTATATTCATTACTGCATGTGCTTGTCTTTTTTAGTTTCCCATCTTGTCCAAGAGTGCTCGCCTGCAGAAGCTCATTGCTAGTACAAATGATGAAAGCAATAATACAATTGACATTCATGATATACCCGGTGGACCTGCTGCCTTTGAAATATGTGCTAAATCCTGTTATGGGATGATAGTAACTCTCAATGCATACAATGTGGTTGCGGTACGTTGTGCGGCAGAGTATCTTGAAATGTACGAGACAGTTGAGAAAGGAAATCTTATATACAAGATTGAAGTCTTTTTAACCTCTAGCATTTTCCGAAGCTGGAAGGATACTATTATTGTTCTTCAAACAACAAAATCTATGATTCCATGGTCAGAGGAATTGAAGGTTGTCAACCACTGCATAGATTCTATAGCTACTAAAGCTTCTATTGATCCTTCGAAAGTTGAGTGGTCATACACGTATAATCGTAAAAAATTCCCATCTGAGAATGGAAATAATTCACATTGGAATGGTGTGAAAAAACAACAGATGGTGCCGAAAGACTGGTGGGTAGAAGACCTCTGTGAGCTTCAAATTGATTTATATAAGCAGGTAATAACAACAATAAAAACAAAAGGAAGAATGTCTGCAGACACCATAGGAGAATCTCTGAAAGCATATGCTTCAAGAAGGCTGCCAGTTTTCATTAAGGGTACAGTACAAGGAGATGATGTTGCAAAATACAGGTACTTGGTTGATACCATAAGTTCGTTATTGCCCTCGGAGAGAGATAGCGTTTCTTGTAGTTTCTTGTTCAAGTTATTACAAGCATCTATAACATTAGAATGTGGAGAGACAAGAAGAAAAGAAATCATGCAAAGGATTGCAGAACAGTTGGATGAGGCCATGGTTGGTGATCTTTCGTTTCATTCTCCAACTGGTGAAACAGCACTGTATAACATAGATATAGTACATGACTTGGTCGAGCGGTTTGTGATGCAAAAACACAGTGCTGGTGGTAATGAATTTCAAGAGAGATGCACTAAATTTACTTCAGACGATCCCAGGATTAAGGTGTCCAGATTGGTTGATGATTATCTTGCTCAAGCTGCAAGAGATTCCAGTTTACCTTTGTCAAAATTTGTGGATCTAGCTGAACTTGTTTCTGGCTTTCCAAGACCAACCCATGATAGTATTTACCGTGCTATTGACATGTTCTTCCAGGTTGATTTTTGCTATCATCTTCAACATTGCTAATTTTGTTTACTTTACTTTTTATTTTTTATCACGTCAAGTTGAATACTTCGCTACGTAAGATTATCCTTGACCAAATATTTTGCTTTTACAGGAACATCCTAGTCTGACCAAGAGTGAGAAGAAGAGGATTTGCAGGTTAATGGATTGCAAGAAGCTCTCTGCTGAAGCCTGCACCCATGCCGTACAAAACGAGAGGCTCCCATTACGGGTGGTTTTGCAGGTTCTTTTCTTCGAGCAAGCTCGAGCAACATCATCCTCTGGCGGTTGTAACACATCCGACCTACACGATTCCATCAGAACCTTATGCCTGGGTGGGTCCCATGGGAGTTCCAGTTCAGCAACGACCAACACAGATGAGGATTGGGATACTGTCCAAAGCAGCGATGATCTCAAGCCTTTAAAGGGAGAACTCACTTCTCTAAGGTTGGGGAACAGAGGAAGTGGCAATGACAATAGCCCGAATGATGCAAAATCTGACACAGAAAAAGTTGCTACCAATAAAGTAAAGAAGATCTTCTCGAAACTCTGGTCTAACAAAGACAGAATGGGCGAGATCAGCAGCTCGGATACATCTGAGAGCCCGGCTTCTCCAAATGCAGAACAGAATAGGTCCACCCCTTCGAGAAGTAGGAGGCATTCCTTGTCTTAAACTAATTGCTTAGAGGAAGCATGGAGAGAACGTAGGATTTTACACTCAATCGATGACATGTTAGTCATTTATGTCGTAATCAACTTACTCTATTTTTCTTGGGTTAAACCCCTTTACCAGGCCAGACGTTACCGGAGCCTACGTGGCCCTGGTAATGTAGCATTATTCATTTTGAGTTAGTCATTTATGTCGTAATCAACTTACTTTATTTTTATTGGGTTAAACCCCTTGACCAGGCCATGCATTACCGGAGCCTACATGGCCCCGGTAATGTAGCATTCTTCATTTTTCTTACCTTTTCAAACCACTCACTCAAATGATTTGACAACAGGCGTCCTTGATGTTTTGGAGATTTAAGGGTAAATTTATTAATTTCGCAAAAGTTGGAGACGGTAAGTATATATTTTCGCTTTTTTCAAAAAATAAAAAAGTATATATTTTCCCTCTTTTATACAATCAACAAATAAGTCGAACATTTACGCGTGTAACGAGGAGCAACGGCATTGACCAACTAATTAGTTGCTATTTAAAAGCATGGTGGATTATGAAACTCGGATAATTAACCCCTATTCGACACTCATTTTTTTCCAAACTTTTTTTTTATTCTCATTTTCAATCACATTCTCACAATAATATAATATTCACGTAAGCCCAAAAAATTTCCTACTTTTTAATTGTAAATTATCCAAAATTTACTATATTCCCCGAAAATGGCAGTCAAACGGGGGCTTTAATAAAAATATAAATTTCCTACTTTTTAATTGTACATTTCCTACTTTAGTATATCGATATTTTTTTTACATAAATAAATTAATGAAAATATAAAATTAAACACAAGTGTCAGAAAACTTCGTCGGGAGTGAAATAACAGTTAGAAATATGACTTCTTCAGCATTACTATTATAAACAAAAAATAAATAAATAAAAAGAGCTCTAAGTGCTTATTTGAGCCCCCCTTTGTTTCATCAATATGCATTTTTCTACAGGGTTTAACCTCATTTCAACTACATATTCTTCGATAAAATAATATTACACACAAATTCAAAAAAAATTCTTATTTTTTAACCACATATTTTCTATCATAACACTATTACAAAATGCATTTTTTTGAAAAAAAATGGGGCTCGAACAACACTTACCGACATATTATTTCTTTAATAACTTTTTTAAAATAATAAAATAATAAACTTCCATTAGGCGAGAAATAGACATGCATCTAGTGCCAATTTAGCAAGTGCAAACCAATCATTTACCTTATGATTGGACAAAAAATAAAGTTATTTGTACAATATTTGTTGACAACTAACAATTCATGTGTTATCAAGATCTGTGATGTTTATTTAAAAAACAGTTTTTAAAATGGATAGTGTAGATTCATGCCAACTCATGATTGCCAACAAAAGTTGTCAACCATGATTGTACATGTAGTAAGATCCATGTTCCGAAGTTAAAATAGCCAGCATGGCGGTAGACCTCACAAAATTGAGTTCAGTTTGATTGTAGCTATAATGGAATCTAGCAATCCGTGCAATCGTAGGCATTGAGCACCACCACCTTCATTCTCGTAAAACACGTTTTCAGCACTCTTGTCCATTCCTCTTTTAATCTACTCTCCTCTATATATTGTTCTTCTCACACCACTCACATTGGGTACGACCTAATGACGACATATTGATTGAACCATTGACCCGTTGATCAAAGTAGGTAATCGCATTGGAGTCCTTGCATAATTTAGGGGCCTTAGTTGCCTAACTTAGCCTCTATTTGAGTCTCATTTTTGGGCCAAAATAGATTTTGAAATAATATTTTGTTGAAAAATGTATGGTTAAAAAATAAGGAAAAATTTTGAATTTATGTGTAAAATTATTTTATTGAAAAATGTGTGGTTGAAAAGAAGTGAGAGAAAAATGTATTTCGGAAATAATGGAGATCAAAGAAACAAAGGGCTATTTCATGAGGAAAAAGAAACAAAGCACTGACTTGGAGGGCAATGAATAAATTGTTTTATTGTAGTTTATTGAATGATTCTTGGTGGTGAAGACTGAAAGGAGTCAAAAAGGCTGAAAAAGGTTTTATGGGCAAGTAGAAAATAGAAAATGGTGTGTAATGTGCGTGTCTTGTTACGCAAAGTGGCCAGATGAAATTTGTTTTTAGCCAAGTATTCATGGCTTTCCTAGTAGACAATGGCTCCTTTAGCCTGCTTTTTTGTAAAACCCTTCTCTTTGTTCGGCAGCTTTTTTCTTTCTGTCCCTGTCCATCCTTTTCATTTGTTGCTTGTGCAAAGATTTCAATAAAATAATGCAAAATAACTTACAATTGTAACATTAGTGAATTTCTTTCATTTGGCTTTTGTAGTGATGATAATAATTTGTCCCTTATGTTGTGATTCAAAGTGATATAAAAAATTGAGTCTACGCTTGAGCTCCATTTGTTGTTGAAAATGAATTTTGTAATAGTAATTTTTTGGAAAATGTGTAATTAAAAAATATGAACGATTTTTGAATTTACGTGCAAAATATTTTATTGTGTGCATGTGTAGTTGAAAAAAGAATTTGAGAAAGAAAAATGGATTTTTAGATAATGAGGCTCAAACGGG